CTATTAAGTGAAACCTTTCCTTCTGAAAAATTTTAAGGTACCTTTCCAATTGATTTAACCAAGACACGGCTCCAGATTCAAGGCCAGAAGAATGATGCAAACTTTAAAGAAATCAGGTATCGAGGAATGTTGCACGCATTAGTGAGGATAGGCAGAGAGGAAGGCCTGAAAGCGCTATATTCGGGGTAAGTAGACGTTTCAAATGGACAGACTTCATACTGAGACTTCACAGAGAAAAAGTACAAGGTTGGGGTGTATTTGAAATGAGCAAGTAGCAATGGTTGGTTTTTTTCATTTCAGTTTGGTTTTCTACGTGTTTTTTTTTTCTTCTCTTTTTTTTCCATTTATTTTTATTAGTTGGAGGCTATCTACATGTTTTATATAGTGAATGTTGTGGTAAAACTTTTTACTATAGTCAAATACAGATAATGGTGCAAAAATTACGTTTGTTTCGAAGCATTCTGTAGTTTATTTTTTTTCCTCTTCCCCTTGGTTATTACTGAGCTTTTTACTATAATGAAAACGATGTTCTGTTCTCCATGGACAAGAATTGCAGTGAACAGCTTATCTTTAGTCCAATGTTTAGTGAACATTGTGCTGTAGGTGCTGGATAGGAAAGGGATTAAGATGGGACCCTGTCTCTGTCAGAGGCCCTGCAGGAGCTCATTCATTTGGATGATTTAAACGAAGGGAGATTTAATGAAAGGGGCTTCCCTGGTGGTTCAGTGATAAAGGACCTGCCTGCAATGAAGGAGATCTGGGTTTCATCCCTGAGTCGGGAAGATCTGGGGAAGAGATTGGCTACCCGCTGCAGTATTCTTGCCTGGAGAATCCCATGGACAGAGGAGCCTGGCAGGCTACAGTCCATGGGGTCACAAAGAGTTGGACATGACTGAGCGACTAACACTTTCACTTTAATAAAAGGGCTGCTTAAGGGTTAAGGGAACAATCGAAGGGTTACCTAAAAGCTGGCAAAATGAGAAATGGTTACACAGGCTGGGACCAAAGGAACAAGGACAAAGGAGTAGTGTCCTCAGAGCCTACCAGAGCTGCAGCCTTGAAGGAGCCTGTAGGAGGGGTCGAGGGATGCTCTGCTAGTGCCACGGAAGAGGAGGAAATCCCTCTGCTGCTTCCTCCCCTCCTCCCCTCTCTCCCACCTTCTCCCTGCCGAATCCTCCTGGAATCAGATAGCAAGGGAGCCGGCTGGTAGTGTCCAGCGGCAGCTCCTGCCCTGAAGGAACCGTTTAGGGCAGAGCACCCACATAGTGTGTGACCTCATCCACGGAGGTGGAGGGGAAGGAGGAGACGGGCTGACGTCTCTTCCGGTTCCGGCCAGCATGCAGACGGAGGTTCCATTCCTTGGCCTAGGACCCAGAAGAGGAGAGCGCATCGTTTGGAAGTCGGGGTAATTAGCTCAGTGTGCACTCTTGCTGTGGTGGTAGGTGCAGGGCATGTGAGTTGAGAAATCTGGGAAGCAGGTGGAAATGCATCCTAGAATCAGGGTTGGAAACACGAGTTTAGGAGCCAGCAGTGTTCGGTCAGTTGAAGCCATGCAAGTAGATGAGCTCATCTGGTGAGTGTGTGGAGGCAGGAGGGAAGAGAGGAAGGACGGAATCCCCTGCCCCCCCGGAGGACAGAGGTAGGGTGTGCAGAGAAAGAAGAGGGATGGAAGAGGGTGACTTGCAGAGATGATTGCAGGCAGGGTCCAGGGTGGGCTGGAGCAAATACCACAAAGGCAACAAGGCTTCATAAGATGCTGATTGAAAAGCGTCATTTGATTTAGTAATTGAGATGTCCCCTGGGTCCATTTTGGTGGGGGGAGGTTACTGATGGAGAAGTTGGAGGGAAGCCCCATTGCAGCCTAAGAAGGAAGTGGTAAGTGCGGCAGGAGAGCCTGCGAGTATGAATGCCACAGGGTGGTTCTGGGATCAGGGAGGGTCCCTGGAGGAAGAGGGAACAACTGGAATAGGGCCCCTGGGGAGGCGGGTGGTGAACTTCAGAGAAACCCTGGAGGATGCTGGCAGAGGCCAGATTTCATCAGGGGCCCTGTCCTGAGGAAGGAAAGCCCACCACGATCGGAAAAAGAGAACTCTGTGTTCACGTATTTGTGTACATTTTCACTGAGGGTAAATACAGTGGGCTGAACTATCACTTAGGGAGCTAATAACTTGCACACATTTGACTGAACCTGCCTGTGTTTTTGCTGAATTTTGAACTTTAAGAAAAATCCATGTTAGTGTAGTTTGCGGAAGGCAGATAACATGATTGTGTCCCTTGTGTGCACCCTCTAGAGGATTTTCAGTGACTTTGAAGAATTTCTCTGTCCCTTGGTTTGGCAGGATCGCCCCAGCAATGTTACGCCAGGCTTCCTATGGCACCATCAAGATAGGCACCTACCAGAGCTTGAAGCGGTTATTTGTTGAGCGTCCAGAAGGTGAGCGGGGAATCCTTTTTCCACTTGTGGACAGGAGGTGGGTTGTTTGTCTTTTTACTCAAGTGGTTTACAAACAGAGGAGAACTTTGGGCATAAAGTCTAAACAAATTCTGCCGAAAGCACGTCAGCTATCAGCTGAATTTAGGAGGGTAACAGTTAAAAGGAGCAATTTACAAGGCTCTTAATGAGTTATCGCCACAACATCCAGACTAGAGTATGTCGTTATAGTTCTAGCCTACTTAAAATTCTCTGAAGTCCTAGGAATTATCACCTATTTTTCAGGAAAGCAGACTGTATTTCTTAGTATTAAGAACTCTTATTTTATTTTATTTTATTGCTGGTTGATTCTTTGACTTTGCTTTAATCCGTAGAAGTTCCTATCTCTCCTTACAAAGGAGTGAGCACCAGTCACCGTTGGGTGAGGAGCAGAGATGCTTTAAAAGTGCTTCAGTGTATTCCAAATAAATATGGTGTGCTTGGAAATTTTATCCCCACGTTGTCTCATAGGGTATCTTCTATTCTTTTACCAGGTGGTGTACTACCTCATCTTAATTACAATAGTTACATTTATACACACGAGTGAATTGATGGATGGTTACTCTTCCATGATAATTCACATTCCTTTTTAGGTATCAAGAAATTTTGCTATGGGACCTCCCTGGAGGTCTGGTAGTTAGGACTTTCACTCACAGGACTCAGGTCAGTCCCTAGTTGGGCAGCTAAGATCCTGTAAGCCAAGTGNCAGTCAGAAAAAAAAAAAAAAAAAAAACAATAAAAAGAAGTAATTAAAAAAAAATTAAAAGTTTTTCCTGAGCAAAATCTCTTCCGCCAACAAAATCCCAAATTCTTTTAAAATCACTTACTTCATTAAGCATATATTTCTTTATTCTCTTAAGTGAACAGGTGGTGTGTACATGAATTTCATTTGTATATTCATTACTCACATGAAGAGTTCTATATATGTGAAAAGTCAAATAATGTGTCTTTGCAGATGAAACCCTTCTGATAAATGTGGTCTGTGGGATTCTCTCTGGAGTCATATCCTCAAGCATTGCTAATCCAACAGACGTTTTGAAGGTAGGCAGCCCTATATCTTGGGCTTCCCTCATAGCTCAGTTGGTAAAGAATCTGCCTGCAATGCAGGAGACCTGGGTTCGATTCCTGGGTTGGGGAGATCCCCTGGAGAAGGGAATGGCAACCCACTCCAGTATTCTTGCCTGGAGAACTCCACGGACAGAGGAGCCTGGCAGGCTGCAGCCCATAGCGTTGTAAGAGTCTGACACGGCTTCCTGACTAAACCACCACCACAGCCCTGTATCTTATAGGCACACTCTGCATTTTCTTCATGAGATCGACACTCAGATCATGAAAATTTGTGAATATAACACACTGTGCACGTGTGAATCTGTTTACAGTTTTAGTGCCGTGAAGCCTCTGACTTAGAAAGCTGCACTCGGTGGTTTTCCCACTGATGCAGGTGAGCTCACGAGTACAGCCCGTTCTTGGAGACGGTGATGATTTGGGAGGTTTTGGTGACTAACCAGAGAAAAACGTTTAGGCTTGGATGCATTTCATCTGCCATTGAAGATCTCCTGTGTTTTATTGGTTCATGAAAATAGGTGGACTGCAAGTTTTACACCTGTCGAGGCTGTACATTGGTGACCCTTTCTGAAGGTGTTACGTTATCCATTAATCTGACTACAGGAAATAATAAAGAAAATATTTACTTAACCACAAGTAGACATACCTTATTAGATGACCTTGCCGACAGTACCAGGATACTGCCTTCTTAAATCCCTTGGGGCTAACTAATTAAAGTCAAAATTAGGTGCAAGTCCTTGTTTGAACCCTCTCAAGTTTTCCCTTTCCTTCCCTCCCTCTCCTTCTCCCCCATTATTACAAGCAGCATTCACTGCGCTCCTGCTTTGTACCAGTTGGTGTCCTGTGTGCTTAGATCCAAGGATGACTAAGGCAAGGACCCTGCCTTCAGTCCTCAGCCTGATAGGAGATTCTGATAACATCAAAGTTGTATATGGCAGGGACGCTACAGTTACACGGGTGCAAAGAGAACTACCAGGCTGTAAGTTTACCCCGTGCCTGGGTTAGATTGCTAGAGAAGTTTCCACACTCATTCACCTCTTAAATGTTCGGAGAGGCAGTTCCTGCATTTTGTCTTATTTTCACATGTTACCATGGCAGTAGCAATCACCTTTAGAGTTCGAGGTAAATGCATGTGTTTCTCTCAGACAAAATAAGGTACCAGTTTTTAGTGAAAAGTCCCTCTTTATTTTTAAAAATGTGGAGAGCTACATCAAACGTTATTTTTATGTTGACATCTTGGTCATGTGAATTCCATGGCTGTGGTAAAGTTCACTTTTAAGTTCAAGTGTAAAAGAATGTGACGGTGTCACATGCTGTCCTTTGGCCAGCACGTCCACATACCTTTCGGTTTGGCTGGAGTGAAATAATAGTGGCTTGGAGTAACTAATTTAAGAAGAGTGCTTGCCCATGCTTGATGCTGCCAGGCACACTGGCATTATGTGAAGTCTTCAGAATTAACACTCAGAGTCTCTTTTTCCTGCTACTAAGTAACCTAGAGCAAAATATGCCACTTTCTTTCCATTTCAAAAGACTATTAATAATAATAATAGTTTTGTTTTGACACTTAATGAGCTACTACCTGCAATACTCTGGACTTTTCTCGATGCTTTTTGATGATTCCAAAGTGCCTAAGAACCAATCCATATAAACTTAAGCTAGCTTTATAGTAATATATATGGTACAGTTTTTTTTTTCTTTTAATGGTTATTAAACAGCAGATTTTTTTTTTCTAGTTTCTTTCTCACATTAGTCTTTAATCTCTAGATACGGATGCAAGCTCAAAGCAGCACCCTTCAAGGAGGAATGATAGGCAACTTCATTAACATTTACCAGCAAGAGGGCACGAGAGGACTGTGGAAGGTGAGCTGACTTGGTTCTTCTTTAAAAAAAAAAAAAAGGTTTTGTTTTCCCTATTTCCATTATTTTATCTAATCCAAATGGCATAATGAAGTAACTGAAGAATGACATCTGCCCTTGAAGGGATCTTCTTCCTTAATTTCCTTAATTTGTAAAAGGAAAACATGTCATGATTTTACATCAGGAATGTGTCATGATTTTATAGTAACTTTTGTGTAATTCACATGGAAGAAATGCTATGAAGGCTGAATTTTTGTTTGTTTTTTTCTTTTTTAAGTTCTTAGGGAGAAGGGCTTACAGTTACGTTGGGTTTTTTCAGTGGTATGGTTTCATGGCTTCTGTGAAGACTGTTAATCAGGCGCTGGTATGGAATGCTATTTCCTAGTATTCTAGGGACAGTCAGTTCATAGCATGATCCGAAAGGTGACCCAGTCCCATTCTCTCCGTACATACAAGGAAACTGGAGGCGCTGAGCGGTGACTTGTCCTGGTGAAGGTCGTACAGTTAGTACCAGAATCAGAATTAGACTTTGGAGCTTCTGAATTCTTACCCTCTGTCACTCTGCATTTCTGCCCACCAGCAGGCAGACGTATAAAAATTGGCCATCGTTTGTGGGGGAGAGATGTCTGAATCTTCCTTATGGATGTTTTTACCCAGGGTGTGTCCCTTACTGCTCAGAGGGCTGCTATCGTGGTCGGCGTGGAGCTGCCAGTCTACGACCTCACCAAGAAGCATCTGATTCTCTCAGGCCTGATGGGAGACACGGTGTATACCCATTTCCTGTATGTTTATGGATTTTCTTTTTTTAATTAATGTTTTAGGTATGCATGACTTTAGAGTGGAAATTGGCTACAAATTTATAGACATTTTAAAGCTTATTATAAAAATATTATATTCTCATATTTGAAAATTATGGTACAGAAGTAAAGGGAAAAGGTATAATAAGCCTTCATCCTTCTAGCCATTGTTAACTGTTTGATAGGTACCTTCAGGTTTTTCTATGCACAGGTAAGTACATCTCCAAAAATATATTGCTGTGTTGTGCTCAGGCGTGTCCGACTTTTTACGACCATGTATACTGTAGCTCCTCTGTCCATGGTTTCTCCAAGTGAGACTACTGGAGTGGGTTGCCATGCCCTCCTCCAGGGGATCTTCCCAACCCAGGGATGGAACCTGAGTCTCCTGCATTGGCAGGTGGATTCTTTAGCACTGAGCCACCAGGACAGCCCCACAAAAGTATATCACATGTGCTTTATTACGCAACTATGATCGTGTTTAGCATTCTTTTACTTTGATTTTTATATTTAAAATTTTTTTTCAACTTTATTGAGGTATAAGTAGCAAGTAAAATTGTAAGATATTTAAAGTGCACAATGTGATTTGATACATATGTATGTTGTGAAATGATTACCCCCATCCAGTTAATTAACACGTCCATCATTTTGTGTGTGAGGACAAAATTATTCTACTCGTAGCAAATTTAAATTATGTATGATACTGTTATCAACCATAGCCACCATATTATATATTAGACCCTCAGACCTTATTCATTTATTATTTTTAAAATTGATTATTTTGGAGTATAGTTGCTTTATAGGGCTTCTCAGGTGACTCAGTGGTAAAGAATTCACCTGCCAATGCGGGAAACTCTGGTTCGATCCCTGGGTCAGAAAAATTCCCTGGAGAAGGAAATGACAACTCACTGCAGTACTCTTGCCTGGGAAACCCCATGGACAGAGGAGCCTGGGGTAGCGAAAGAGTCAGACCAGGACTGAGTGACTAAACAACAAGTTGCTTTATAAGACCGTCTTCATCTTAAAACTGAAAGTTTGTGTGCCTTTCCCAACCTCTCCCCCGCTTCCCCCAGCCCCTAGCTCTCACAGTCACTTTTCTGCTCTCTGTTTCTATGACGTCTGGCAACTTTGGAGACTGTTCTGATTCTCACGCCTCAGCTGGACAGGGAGTGCTAATGCCATCATCTGGGGAGAGGCTAGTGAACCACTCACATCTTACATTTCACAGCAAAGACGTTCCCAACAAAGACTTATCTGTTCAAAGTGTTAGTAGCTCCGAAGCCGTGAAACCTGACTCTTGAGTTAGTTGATGCCAGAGTGGGTCTATGGTCCAGGTATCAGTTTAGTAGTCCCATGGACCCCCGGTGGGCATTATATTACAGTTAGGAAATCTTTTTCTCTGATATCTTAGGACAGGACAGTTATGATACAGCTAAAATTACTCTGATGCCTGTTTATAGGTGGATAGATAGATAAATAGATCATCCTTGGAAGATGCTCCTTGTATGTTTCTGTATTCTTTCCTGTTTCTACGACAGCCCAGAACCTCAAAGGTATTGTCAGCCGGGACTGGAATTTATAAGCCAGGATAAACAGTGCCGGTGTTTAGAAGTCTGTAGCTCTCAGATGAGGTCCTGATTCGCGTGCGTTCTGTTGCCTGTTACACATTAGCCTAACCTGGGGGGAGGCTGTCTCCTGCCTTTGACATGCTTCTCTAACGGCCTCCTTTGTAGCTCAAGCTTCACCTGTGGGCTGGCGGGGGCCCTGGCCTCAAACCCTGTGGATGTGGTGAGAACACGCATGATGAACCAGAGAGTCCTCCGCGCTGGCGAATGCCCCGGCTACAAAGGTACCCTGGACTGCTTGTTACAGGTGAGTGGGGCTGTCCGTCTCTGCGCTGTTGTGAGTTCTTTCTGTGGCTTCCATGTTATCCTCTGAAGAGTTTCTCTTCATGATTTAAAAACCCAAGGGCTTAGAGCCCGATGACCCTCTGGTTCTGTCACTTGTAATCCTGTGACTCTGGTCTATGTACAGACAGTGTACACCTCGATTTCCTCACAAGTAGCACGGTGATACCACATGTGTCACAGAATTATTATAAAAACATCGCGATAATACTGCCGAAATGGTTACTATGGTGCCTGGAATAATGTCATGTAGAAATATTGTATATATTTATAGTAAGTATAAGCATAATAATAAAGCCTTGTTCATAGAATATAATATATTAATATAAGGGACACTGGTGAAATAAGCACATTTACTTAGTCTTCAATATTCTGTGGATTGCTTCTGTCTGTGAAACTGCCCCCCAAATATATGTATACATATATATATATATTTTTAAATTTATATTTATTTAATCAAAGAAGTATCTAAGTTTTGAGGACTTAATATAACTACGATGAGTGATGCTCTAAAGCCTTGAGATGGTACAGAGTATTTGCCTAACACAGGGGCTTTTATAAATACAAAATCTAAATGAGTATTTAGAAATGAAAGTTCATTTTTCTTCTGTCTCTGCTCTGCTGTGAGGGGTGAGAAAATACTCATATTTTCTGCGATGACAGTAGAATTGTGTCTGCTTCCAGAATATATCGCCTTCCTGTTGAGTCAAACTGGAATGAATATCCTTCATTCAGACATCTCTGAAAGGAACCCATGAATCGTAACCTTAATTCTCAGTTTAAATAACTGGGCCTACTGTTGATGAGTAGATGACAGTTTGGGACTGTCTCTGCTACTGGACTGCCAGCAGCCAAAGATGAGGGACCTCTTCTACGGTTGCTGTTTCCGTCATGATGCTGGCACACCCCTAGACTTCCAAATATTGCTTTAATGAAGCAAAGATACTTAATGTTGTCCATCCAACAACATGAAGTAAAGGTACCCTGAATTATATGTTTATCACTGTTGCCTCCCTTTCTAATTTATGACCTGTTGTGAGTCCACATGGCAAGGAGGCAGTAGACTCTAGTTTGGAATTAAATCTCACTTCATCCAGCTCCTGTTTGCTTTGGGCGTGGGATGCTTTGGTACAGAGCCTGAGTCCTCACCTAGGCAGAAAGCTTTAAAGAACAAAGAGAGGCAGTGGGCAATGATTTCGTAGATAGTCCTTCCAACAGAACTGTATTTTTAAGAAAAATAGACCAGTTCAGTCTGGCTACTAATTATTAAGGCATATTTGACATAATTGGAAAGTTGGGCGCTAACTTTTTCCCCCCTCCCTTCTAACAGACATGGAAGAATGAAGGGTTTTTTGCTCTATATAAAGGGTTTTGGCCAAATTGGTTGAGACTTGGTCCTTGGAATATTATTGTATCCTTTTCTGTTGTAGATCTGAACAAAGATATACCGAAAGAATGTTGTTTGCATAAACTATCGGGTTATTAACTATAATTAAAAGGAGATTTTTTTCTCTTTTGAATTCTTCTCATTCAAGAAGTTAACTATTTAGTTTCTTTATACACAGGTATAAAGTCTCTCTGCCAGGCTCTGTGAAACTTGGTTTAATGATGGTGTTCTTGAAAGCCAATGATATCAATGAAAACCTTTATTTAGACTCTGCTCTAGGAGCTGAGTGTGTTTATGATTTCAGAGAGAGACAAGGATTTATTTATTTATTCTGTAAATCCCTGGCCACCCTTGGGCAGGATGTGGTTTGGCAGCTATGTTTAGAATGCTTGAGTGCGCCCAATGATAGGAATTAGCTCCAGAATTATTTGCCTGATAAGCAGTTTGTCCTCCACACCAAAGTGAGAGGCAGGAAAGAAACAACAGTTTATTAGGAATGAAAGAATTGTAAAGTAGGAGATGTTGGTTTCTACCACCCTTGTTCTACTTGAAAAAAAAAATTTTTTTTTTAATTGAGGATACTTGCTTTACCACCCTTGTTCGTCATTATCTGCTTCCCTCCCATGGAAGCTTGCCTCCCGGCCACCCTGGAGGAGAACTTCCAGGGTTCCTGCCTTCTCTTACAGACTTGACTATTCTGTACAGTCTTCCCCAATGTTAGAAAAGCTAGCAGTGTGGATGTACTCCCAGAAGCTGTTGCATCTGATGCGAGGGATTTGTGTGCCTCAACTGTGGTCTCTCTCTTCCAAGCCGATCCTGGGAAGGCTCCTGGGGAGCTCTTCTGGGGTGTTTGAGGATGGAGCCCCTCATATTTTATCATGCCCACAGCACATTGTCTGCCCAGACATGTTTGTTAGGAGTTGTGCTATTTGTGGGTCTGTTTTGATGGGTCAGGATTAAGATGGCATAAAATGTCAGCCTTAACTAATACACCTGCAGTTCTTTGTGACCTATGAGCAGCTGAAGAAACTGGATTTGTGACAGGTCAAGACTGCATGAGACATCCTCTGAAAATGCTCACTTCTGAAATAGCGAAGCTTCCTGTCTTTCCCACTGCTTCTCACTGCTTGGCCCGCCACAGATTGGGGTGTGAGCAACAGGTGAGGGCTGGGTTAGCTCAGATCATTTCATTGTGTCCCGCATCGGACGCCCTGCACCAAACGTTTAACGACCTCGACTGTAACATCCAGACACTAGTCCTTACCGTTCAAGTGCCCTTCGACATCAAAGATAACAGGAAATGCATGTTTCTTGCTAAAGAAAACTTGCATGAAGGTCAGGAACTGTGGACTGTTTCCTTCAGGCGAAGAGTAAGTCCTGGTGCACCTCAGCTCATAGCCAAGACTCCCAGACTGTTCTGAAGAAGCTCTTTGGAACGTGGGATAGAACGTCTGAGAAGGTGTTACTGTTCCTGAGCTTCTGCAGGGGGGGGGTTGGCTTCGGGTCCGCTGAAGAAATTCACACATGGAGACCTGGTGTACCCCAAGTATAAACAGGGCAGGATAGAGATCCCTGGAACATTGCACTGCTTTGTAATTTTCTATTTTGGCAGGATCTTTCACTTATAATAAGTGACTTTTAAGCCTTTCACCACTCTACCTTTGTGGGGAATTGTTACAAAGTATTACCATCTAAGCTCATGATGGTGTGAGAGGTTGGCTTGGAAGGTAGCAAAGTCGGTGTTGTGGGAGGTGTGTTTAAGAAACTTGGGTTCTGTCCTAGGTGATGGTAGTACTGGGTTGGCCAAAATGTTTCTTCAGGTTACAAGAGTGTGGGGAAAATCTGAACGAACTTTTTGGCCAAGTCAATAATTTTCCCTGTGATATTAGCAGAATTTCTATCTCCCAGTCTGTACAATAGGGATAATAACATCTGTTGATACTGAATGTCAGGTGAAGAAAACAGTAGCTCCTACTACTAAACTTGTAGGATGAGTGTCTTTATATCGTGGTGTTGTATAGCCATAATTCCAGAATAAATAGTTCCTATGTGTGAAGAGAGTCATTTTATCATGGACTTCTCCCAAGTGAGGTCCTGTGATAAAACTCTTGTGAAAGAAAGGCTAACATGCTGTTGTGTTTCCCATAGGGAAATGTGGCAAGTTAATTGAAGAGTTGATTTTTCCAGATTTCCCGGGTTTTACTTTAGTTCTGGTCACATTTGTTAAAATATTTCCTGTCTTGGACTTCCTTATCAGTTTGGATGGAAAATACTTGCTTGAAATTTGAAAAGCAATATTTTTAGCTAGAGGCTGTCTCAGCCCTGCAGGGGCCCAGGTGAGACGGGGTCTGTTGTCCCAGGAAGGGAGTTGGCCGTTGGCGAAGGGTGACCTTCAGCTGCCATGTTAGAGGGGTTGAGATGGTACTCCAACATGTCCATACATACATAGCCTGTTTAAAACACCATAAAGAGCCTGCCTGGGTGCCTGATGAAAGGAGACAGGGTACAGAGTGCATCAGAAATCAGGCTGTGGAGGTTGGCAAGTCCCTCCAGGCCTGGATTAGAGGCTATGGGGCCTGGCAAGATCTCCTGACGGTGAATCACCCGTGGGAAGCCCGTGGCTCCTGCCTGGGCGGAATCACCGTGAAGCCTGCCCCGCACCGCAGACCAGCCGACTCACCCGTGCGGTGGGACCCAGGCTCCCCAGGTGACTCTAATGTGCAGCCCGCTTGAGATGCTGAAATGAACCACCCCAGAGTGGGCTGAGTCTGGAGTCTGGAGTCTGTCTCTGTTCTTAGAGACTGCCAGCGTGTCCCAGTGGACTCACTGTGGGAACCACTGGCTTGGCCAAATTGGAGTGAGTGGAGGCTTTAGGGGAGGGGCCCGCATTATGAGGCCACAGTGTTAGGAATCACCGTTCTGGCAGAGGTTTGCAGATGGCTTGAAACTAGCTAAGTTGAAAGATTTGTTGGAGAACAATGAGCAAACCCAAAGGAGGGCTGGGCAAAAGGAGGTGCAGACCTGGACCCCTCAGCAGAGCCTGGGGAGGGTGGGAGGGCTTAGAAAAGCAAGGGTGTGGGGGGATTGGGCAGTTTTTCTCCCGGTCTCTCTCACCTTGCCTTCTATATTAATGCTGACTTTGAAAATAAGATTTTGTGAAGCAGGATTTCTGTTCCAAAAGTAAGAGCTAAGACAAGAAAGGAGAAGGTCAGAGGGGCAGGTAGGTGTTGATTGCTTCAAGATTCAGATGGAAGTCTAGTTCTCACTGACCAGCTCCGGGTGTGATACTAGAGAGCTGACCCTCTTCAGGCCTTGTCCCTCGTAACAAACCATATATTTAGAGAGGAGACTTCTCTTCTTACCAGAACATTCCATTGATGTAAGGGCTTTCTATAGAAAGACTTTCACTTTTGGGTTCCTTGAGTTTAAAGGATGACTTTTTATGAGCCAGTCTTTGTTTTTTCCCCTTAATGTAGAAAACATTATAAGTATACATATAATTCCTAAAACAGTAGAAGTGAGTTCATTTTGAAGACTGTGAAAAGACTGAATGTCATGCACTATTCATTATATCAGTTTATTCCAATATGTTCATGTTCATACCAGGATGAAAAGAAAACCAAACCTTTCTGTAAAAGGTAAGCACATTTTTAAGACAAAAATGCTGTATTTCTTCAGTGCAGACTTATAGAACTGAGTTATATATACCTTATATACCTTATATACCTTATATACCTTATAGAACTGAGTCTTAATCTGTTTTTTTTTTTTTTCTGTTCCCTGAACGAGTTATGCAGTTGTTGAAGCTTCTAACCAAGGAAGAACTTGAAGGACTGGGAGATTTGATCTCCTTGTCTCCGGGGCTGTGACTATAAGTTCCCTCCCTCCACCCCCGTGGGTATTGTTAAATGTAGCAAAGGGATTTTTAGCTTTTATAACCCAAATGAAGAAAGTGGATTTTATTTTTTGTTTGCTTGTGGATTTGTGTAATCATTGATGGCTAAGTTTGGCTGATTGTGATACAAAGAACGGCTTCTGTTTTCTGTATTTATTCATGCACCAGAAATAGTGTATATTATTATATAAAGACTATAAAAGTTTTCATAAGCCTTTATATTTTGAACTCTTTATTTAAACATTGTTGGAAAATGTGGCATAAACCTTGTGTCATTATTTAATAAACTATAGTAATATAATAAAAATGATTTGTGGTTTTTTCAGATGCATTGAAACATTTGAACAAAAACAAGCTCTTAAAACGTCCGGGAAGTTGGAGTAGATCTTGCATTTGTGAAGGTGGTTGCAGACATTTCTCTCTGCTTAGAGAAGTTGTTGAGATCATCTTACTAATTGCCTGGAGAGGTGTGTGGCCTCTCCACAGTCTGCAGCTCAGTAGAGGCCAGTGAATTTGGCTCGTTGGGTTTGCTGGGCAAGGCAGCTTTGAGATTACGGAACACAGGTGGGGCGCCATCAGGGTCTTGACATTTCAAGACCCTCGAAGTCCTTCTAACGCCTGGTGTTGGCAGGATCCTTGGTTAACTGTTGGCTAGGCGGACACCTCTGGTTGTGATAAAACAACCAGGGGATGAAATGCAAACCTGGTTCATTTTTTTTTTTTTTACTTGAACATATTTTCTAGGTGCCTGTCTTAACATTTGAAATAAATTCAGTGGTCTATTGAAAAAACGGAATTGGCAAAAAAAAAAGGAAGCCTTGTGGTCTCTGGTCCCCTGCCTAAGAGATCAGATGACACACCTTTATGTGATCGAGTTCACGTGAAGGTCAGTGGGAGGAGCTGGCTGCTGGTGAACCTTAAATGCTTGGGGAATTCACATCCCACTGGATCCGGGCACCTGTTAGACACACTGGGCGTGGAATCCAGGCTATCTATTTTTAAAGGCACAGCTGAGAAAATCTGATGGTAAGTTTTTGGTAGATGACAGCTGCTCCATCCTGAAGCAGAGTATGGGAATAGAAGACAAAGGCAATGGATGGATCAGTTTCTTGCAAACTTGATGCAAATCGTGGGACCAAGAGCAAAAAACTGGAAACTCCCTATGCCTATATGTCTCTTGCTGATAAAATAATCTGTACAGTAGCTTACCCCGAACTCAGGAGAAGAATGAGTTATATCTCAGTCTGCTGACCTGGGGAGATGTGCATGATATGCTATCATATAGGAAACAAGATGTAGACTTCTATAGGTATATCATGAACTCATCGCTTAGAGGAAAAAGCATAAGCTTACGTCAGTAGGGAATGGTTGTAAAGGTTGTGGATTAGGCTTCTCCAGAGAAAGAGGGACCAGTGGGATCAATGTGTGTGCCCATGCATGGTTTATTTTAAGGAATATGCCTATGTGACTGGGAGGCTGGCAAGTCTAAAACCTGTAGGGCAGCTACTCAGGACAGCAGACTGGAAACTCAGGCAGGGTTTCTAGTTGTCTTTTTTTTTTTTCTCTTTGGCTGTGCCATGCAGCTTGAAGTAGTGAATACACTGGACTGCCAGGGAACTCCCTCTGTTTTAGTCTTAAGTCAGAATTCTTTCTCTGGGAAACCAATTTTTCCCTCCTAAGATCTCTAACTGATTGAATGGGGCCCACCCATATTATGGAGTGCAATCTTTTTTTTAAGCGCTTTTTAAAAACTTTTGTTTAATTTTTGGCTTTGTTCCTGTACGCAGGCTGTTTCTAGTCTCGATGAGTGGCAGCTTCTCATTGCGGTGGTTTCCCTTGTTGCGGAGCACAGGCTCCAGGGCTCACGGGCTTCGATACTGGTGAGTCCTGGGCTGTGGAGCTCGGGCACAGCAGTTGTGGAGTACAGACTGAGCTGCCTCAGCACGTGAGATCTCTGAGCAGGGATAGAACTGTGACCCCTGCATTGGCAGGCAGATTCCTGACCAGGGAAGTCCAGCATGGAGTGCAATCCTAATGTCAGCTGATTGTAGATGTTATTCACAGCTGCACGTACCTTCATGGCAACATCTAGGCTAGTGCTTGCCATATATCTGGGCACTGTAGCAAGGTCAAATTGACACAAAATTGAATCATCACAGGGTAGAAAATTATTAATATTTTCTTTATGCATAATTGTATTGGTTGGTTTGAAAACTGATGTTTTGCCATTTAAAGAAAAAATCTTAAAAAGGACTAATTTGGAATACAAATGTTCAAGGTACATAGAAGTGAAGGGAATTGGAGGGAGTGAGAGTTGCAGTGTATCTAATAGTCTACTTGTATTTTAACTATGTTTGTAAAGTATACCTAATGCCTATCAAACATAAAATTGAGCTAAACGGTTAAATGGGAAACTTGTTTATTTCAGTTTTAACTACTTCCTGTTCCTCAGTAAACTTAGTACTTTTATAATTTAAAAGTTTTTTTAACTTTTTTTTTTTTGGACAGTGGGGGAAACCTCTAGAAGAGTGTATCATGTACACACGTAGCCTCTAAACTACACAGTATGTTATACAACTTTTAGACTTACTCTGTGACATAATGATATGCAGTTTCATTATATTATATGGTAGAGTGACCACTACATTTTTAAGAGGTTTTGCTTCATCAATTATAATCTTGCAAATAGATTTCTAAAACAACCCACAATTCTCTACGGAAAGAGAAGCTGACAAAATGTAAGCTATTACCGCTGGGCTGAATGTATGTATGAGAATCCCAGTGATTCTTGACTTAAAAGTAGGTCTGCATCTAGCAGTTAATGCCAGGGTTATGAACATCCAAGAACTGTTTCATTTGAATTGTCACTACTTTACCTCTTTTTTTGGTGCAGGGGAGAGAGGGCTGTGTGACACCCAGGATCTTAGTTCCCTGACCAGGGATCAAACCTATGCCCCCTGCAATGGAAGTGTGGCATCCTAACCACTGGACCACCAGGGAACTCCTGCATCATTATTTAAATATTTATTTGCTTTTTTATTTATATGGCTGCACCGGGTCTTAGTTATGGCATGCAAGATCTTTAGTGGCAGCATGAATTCACGCTTAATTGCTAAGTCGTGTCTGACTCTTTGCGACTCTGTGGACCGTAACCCACCAGG